GTGATAGAAACAGATAGCCACACCACACAAAAAACAAATTCAAACTTGAAAGAAAATCACTAAAGTTCGATAGAGTTATAAAGTAACAAATAATCAAAGAGAAGCATGAAATTCATATAATCTATACGAAGTTTAACAACAAAATACTAAACAAACATGATCATAATGTACTTACACTGCTATCGTTCAACAACGCCTCAAGCCCTCAACCTCAAATCGGAAACTGAAAGTCTGAAAGCAACTGAAATATTTGATTGGAGAAGGTAGAACTCAAAAGAAGGGGAAAAGATTAATAATCGAAGCGTATGAAGATTGAAGAATTGAAGCGTATGAAGATTGAAGAATTGAAGAATCGAAGGCAAAGCGTTGAGACTCATGATACTGATTAGTAAAGAAGCGTATGAAGAATTGATTATTGAAGGATTGAAATCGAAGAGTCATCATGAAACTTGGGCCAATTTATTTAAGAAGATACAAAATAGATATAATTTTAAGAATAAAATAAATTTATATAATATTTTAAGTGGGTTGAAAACGAGTTGAAAAAATGTCAAAAAATTCAACCCAACCCAACTCATTTATTTAAATGGATTAGACGGGTTGACCCATTTATTTAAATGAGTTAGACGGGTTGACCCATTTATTTAAATGGGTTGGAAATCTCAACTCAACCTGCTAATTCTGGGTTGGGTTAATGGGTTGGATCATTTTTTGCCACCCCTATATAATGTATTGAAGAAATGAAAGTAGGATACATCAAGAGTGATAACACAAAGCATATTCCGTTTAAGTTTTTATACAATCAACAATAACAAACTCTCTTCAAGATTCAAGTGAATCAAATAAAATACAAGGAGAATGTAACATGTTTTTTTTACCAAATCATTACTTAGAACCACATTTTTGGGCAACATGTAGAAAGTATTAAAATGTGAATGTTTTCCGTAATCCCTTGATTAATGCACTCAGGGGGAGTAGTAGACAAAAGTGAGAGTCTGTTATATATGTAATATTAATATGTTGCGTTCTTTTCTTCATCTAAAATTTTATTTTTTTCATTGGGTTTTGTTCCTTGGTGTAATGTTTTAGTGAGACAACAATTTGTATACCATTCTGCTTTCTTAAGTCATGATTAATATATGAATATGAGATTAAAGGAAAAGTGTATATATTACAAAGAAACTGGTGGTGCATTGTACTATTCTCTTCGTTTTAATTTTATATTTTCCCATTAGGTTTCATTTTGGCGTAAAGTTTTAACGAGACAACAATTGTACACCATCACTCATTTAATTCAATACAAGGGGGAGTGTTGTATTGTAAGTGTGTCATCGTCTAAAGGATATGATGATAGAGATAAAATTATATTAGAATTGAAATGTCTTGTAGTTATCCACTTATAACTTATCTCTATTTAAAGGGTTTTTGATTAATGAAAATTACAAATTCATCATCTCTATTTACTGTTGTTCAATTTGGTTTTTCCTATAACAGTTTCTAAATTGTTGAAGTAAATTACAAATTCTGGTTCATGTGGTTTACAATTTGTACTCACGTTAATCTCAAAATCAAAATAAATACAATGATGAGACTTACGGTTTACATTTTCGCATGCCGTAAGTCCCTCCATCTCATAAAATCTATTAACTTAAAAGAGGGCATTTTGGTCTTGTATGATTTTTTTTTTGTCTTTTCTCTTTTTTATTTATTCTTTTTCCTAAAAATACATAAAAAAATACCATGAAGAAGATGAAAAAGTCTACCTCAAAAACCTAAATGAGACCTAATGAACCCCCAAATACAGAGTGACAAAGCCTGACATACAAAGTGAGAATTGAATGGCATCTTCATTAGCAAAATAAAACTTGAAACAACTCTGAACCCAAGTCACCACCATGACCATGACCATTGACCACCAAGTTCAAAATTCTACTGAATGATAATATACATACATAATACATAATACATAATACATAATACATAATACATAATATACATAGCAGTTTTGTTGTTCAAAATACGTAAGTCCAAATTAATTTCTTCTATGGTTGGAAGAACTTGTCAAACCAATTCATCGCTTCTTTAACCATTGACCCCGTCATCTCATGCCCAATTCCTGCTTCTGCAATCACCTGCAATTCGGAGTTTTATATTCATTAATTGATCCATACATGATACATAATATATATATATCTTGTGTATTAGATCACTTTAAAAAAACAATACCTTGAAACTATCTGGACAATTGGCATCTTGGAAAGCCTTGCAGGTTCTTGATATAGTAACATCCAGACCTGCAATCGGGCAACGAGGATCTTCTTCGCCTGCGTGTTTTTTGTCAAGTTATACTTGGAACATAACTATGATTAAAGTATAAGCAAAATTTCACTAAGATGGTAGATATGTCATTTCACCGTTCAAAATCAACAAAGGCCGTGGTGCAATCAGTGGAACTGTATGAACTGAATCAAACTCCGATGTTAAACCAGGCGCTATCCTGTTCCAAACCTGCCCATTCCACAAGTACCATATGTAACATCACTCTTCCCTTTTTACCATTTTCAAGTTATACTTGCATATTTGCCCATACTCGAACATTGCAAATTTTGGGATGGAGATTATAATTACCCATTTCACCCATAGTTACCGTTATACAGAGTCATTATTGAAGGACATTTTAGGATTTTACTATAGTTCAAACATTTTTATTAAATTATTTAGCAAGTTAAACGTTGCACTCTTTTTAGAATAGCTCAGAGATGGGATGGAAACTCACCTTCTCCACGACTTCTTTGTCAATGGCGTCCTTCCCTAAGTCGTGCCGTGCTTCTGAAACAAATGAATGTTACAACGTTGTGCAGATTTCTTAATAAGTTAGGAAGAGAACATAGAATGCACATGTAAACATTCAAAGACAACCAAGAGTAAGCCTTAAAGGATAACTTGATTATATACACACCATCTCCAATATTAGGATACATTGATCACCAACATAATAATAGTTGTGGGATATAGAATATAAGCACGWGGTAACTACATATTTGCCTATATCCACGGTTATTGCTAGGATTCTTACTAGTTTCCTGCTCTACACTTGCATCAAGAAAAGACCAGTTGCTTTTATATGAAGAAAATCTAACTGCAAATGGATAAGATACAAAACTGTTGTTATAAATAGTTAAWAGTCATGAGCATTCTTTTACAATTTGGGCCARAGATACACTAGGTTTGTTGATGAAATCTCACCCAAGTTTGATAAAGAGAATGTGATTCAAATTCTAGGAAGAAAACAGAGTCGATTTGGAAGTCAAGATAGAAGTTAGGTCTTGAAATGCTCCATGCCATACAGAACAGAAGTAGCAATTTATCAAACATTGAACATAGATTCATCTTTCTTTTGTAAAATACCTTCAAACACAGACTTGATACTGTCAGCTCGAGCCTGCCATTGATCATTATCAATGGCCCAACGAAATCCCTACACAGCCAASTTCCTTCAATAAGCATTCTTGTGTAAGAAACTGAATCTTTTCACCAAGACATACCTGAACACCAATTATGGGGACAACCACTGAATAACGTGTGTCAACAAAAGCAGCAAACCATGCATGCATTCCTGCATGAATGAGCAATATTTCAGTTATGGAATTCAMGAAATATAAATGCATCTTCTTATTGATTTAATTATGCTTCATCAACCTCCAAGTGATTCCCCAGTAATTCCTATCCTGGAATGGTCTATATCATCTCTTCCAGTAAGATAGTCTGCTAACTTTACAAGGTCCCAAACCTGTCAAATGATAAATAAAACAAAAAATAAAAATGAAAACTGAGGTTCAAATTTGGTCATTAACGAGCAATGTACGGAATTTGAAATAAAGCTTTCAAGTGTGACAGAAGTATAACCGTGTCAAATATGAATGGCATTGTATCACCTCTTTTCCATGATGAAACAAGTGCCTGGATCCAGAACATAGGAAATCAGATTATGGTTAAAGATTAGGCAAGATAATTAGAACATTCTCCTATGATGAAGCTCATACAGACAAATGCAACATCTCTTTTTGACCAATGGTCGCAATTTGTTTTCTAACCACCTCAAAGCATTTTAAAATCAGACCATCCAGGCATAAACATCTAAGGCCTACATGAAATGCTTGAA